GGCAGTGTGTCCGGAGAGGTTGTGTCATTGTTCGTTTCTTTGGTGAGCGAGTGAAAACCAAAGGGTCGTTGTTGGTGAGCGAGTGAAAACCAACCCTCTAAACGTTGGTGGTGAACGTTGAAAATCACACAAGCTGTACTCAACATAAATTACAAAGAGCTCAAGAGATAACATCCTTGCAACCCAAGGAGACTGGATTAGGATACCACATTAGTTCCGAACCAGTATAAAATTCCTGGTGTCATTTACTTTATTGCTTTTATACTATATTTTGTTCCTTTACTGTTTATTGTGATTAACACTTATTTAAATCGAAAGGACTAATAGTTCTGTGCAGGCTGTCTCCGCATAAGTCGACTAGGTCTGAAGAGTAGTCGACTAGAAATTTAAAAAGGCTACAATTCACCCCCCCCCCCCCCCCCCTCTTGTACTTTCAGGATCCCCCGCCTAGCCTTCAATTCTGCGATTCCCTCCTCAGATATGATGGACGGAGCAGGTTCCGTCTCCTTCCCAGCGGGACTGTGAAAATCACTCCACGCTTTTCCAGGGCGAGGCAAGATTTCAGCCACCGACGGAACCTCCTCATCTTCTACCACTTCTGCTCCTCCAGTGGCCAGAACATCATTTTCTGGCGTCGGAGTTGTGGCAGAAAGGTCAGCGCGAGAAGAATCGCCAGCCATTTGAATCAATTTGATAAAGCAAGAGGATAAAGAAAAGGAAAGACGAAAATTCCTGGCCAACTGAAGGAAATCAAAAATCCGAAGTATCGGGAGGAAAGAGGATTCGCAAAGTTTTCTTAAGCAAAGGCAAAGAATATGTCAAATCGAATGGTGCAGTCCTATTTATAAGAGACATAAATTTTCCGAGCACGAAATCCAAGAGTCGCCAATTGAAGTTGATAGGGCATAAACGGTTCAACCCCCTAGGAACGTGTGTCATAATGGCAGGTAACCATAAACAACGCTTCAAGACAAACGATGTTCAGGTTCCGAAACGACCAAAATGGTTCGAGGATATCGAAAAGATGTCGACACATTGCTAGAATCTAAAGACCATACCCAAGGGGTAGGTGATCAGATTTCTCTTAGATATGTAACAATCATAATCCGCCTACCAGGCCCGACAAGAGGCGACCCCGATAGACGGAGGGACTAACTGTATTGGTCAAAATCTGATCGCTGCAGTCGTCCTGACCAAGATCCCGTCCAAGCGACGAGATAGTGAAAGACGACACGGTTTGCTCCAAAACCCCGTATTCATAATGCCCGTCGTGACAAAGAACGAGACTCAGAGAACGACGAAAGCGGACGTTGTGCGAATTTGTATTGACCCGTAGTGAGGATTCCCTAACTATATATAGGGGAGGAGTCTCTCAATGGAAGGTGGAATTTTCTCTCTCTTATCTCTCCTCTGTAATCTTCTTAGACAAAGGAGCCTTCCCATGGAAGACGGAAGACGGAAAACGGTGATCTTCATCGATTAATGAATGAGGAAATGAAAAATATCAATGAGATTGATCATCCCTACTTCATTTTATGCATTATTTTCTGATTCGCTTATAGATCTGGAGGTTATTAGCCTTGACTAAGATTTACCTCTTCATTCTCTTTGATTGTTTTGTATAAAAAGGTTCCAATATCTTTTGAGTCAAACATTAACGAGCCCCGAGCGGGAATTTTCTATGGTTGCGTTGTTGTTTGGAGGTGGAGTTGGTGGTACAGTCAGCAACCTGCTGACAAAAGCTTGAAGAACATTGTTGAACTGTTGGGCGATTAATTGCTTCAACGTTGTATCAATAGCTTGATCGTTCTCATGCTGGTCATTCATATTCGATTCAAATCCGTCAGGAGTCCCTTCTCGAGATTGTCGAGGAGAGTTTCGTGGTGTTCCATCTCCTTGTTGATTTAGCTGATTCAACTGGTGTTACTGAGTTTGTTGGTTTTGTAAATTTTGTTGGTCGTTGTCGTTGACATTCGACATGATTTTTTGATAGAAGAATGGATTTGGAAAGTGAGAAGATTATCAGATTTTCAGTAGCGGAACCAATTTGTTTAACCAGAAAATAGGAATTTCGGTCAAAGCTTATTTTTAGGAGTACTCGGGCTACTGATAATCAAATAAAAGAATATTTTTGCAATGGAAAAGGAAAATTAGAACGAGAAATAGCAAAGCAATCGGTATAGAGCAAAGTAAATAAGTATATTCCAACAGTAATCAGAATGTATCTATACAAATGTCATTTCTCCCTCTTTTGTAGCTATTTCTAAGTACAACGTCTTTTCCCTTTCATAGTCGAGTCATAATGAGCAATTAATGATATTAATAAAACGTTATAATTGGCAATAGTAACTGTTTCGTGAAGATTCTGTAACGTTTCTAATCATTCATACTCATCAATTGAAGGTTAACGAATATGTACTTTTTGTTATCTTGATTCATTCCGCCGATGTCTCTTCAAATTATGAAGAGACCCGAGCAACCGTTTCTTCTTGTCTCTTAGATGCCTTGCTCGTACCTATTAAGATTCGCATCTCTTAAAGTACTCTTCTCCAGCTGTCACTTTTCAAATGATCCACGTGTTTTGCTACGTCAGCCACATAATTAATTCCAAGTGTAATATTGATTTTCCCCAATACAGTCACTATTATATTTCTTTTGTTTATCGGAAATAGCCTCTACCTTCACAAGGTAGGGTAAGGTCTGCGTACACACTACCCTCCCCAAACCCCACTCGAAATATTTCACTGGGTATATTATTATTGTTATCGAATGTTGTCCCTTAATGAAAATTCTATCTCCACAGTAGGTGGGACGACCATGAGTTGGAGAAATAGCGTGAGAATGTATTATCTGATATTTTGCCGTTCACACTGTTTGTATTTGTATTTCCTCGGTTACATAAACTTCCATTTTTATGTGATATTATTATTATTTGTGTTTTTTCCCTTTGTTACATAAACTTTTATTTTATGTGATACCGTTATTATTTTGGAATTCGAATAACTTTTTGTCTCTTACAGGAACCACGTGTCCTTGAACCATACGATGAATATATTAGAAGGACCACCTATATAAGTGCAGCCAACAAACACTTTTGCTCCCCCAACAGCACAATCAATTTAAAAAAGGAAATCCAATCTTGCTTGACCTCGGGCTATATAATGGTCCCCAAATTCTGAAATCTCTAGACACTACTTTAAAATGAGTCTCCAGTTTACAACACAACCACGGACATTTATCTATAGGGACCATGCTTTAGCACTTGGTACAGTTGGATAAATATTGACCATGCAAAGTATATACAGTCTAAAGCACGCTGAACTATAGATAAAGTTGTTTCCGTATGATTTACGGGTCACAGATTCGAACCGCGAAAGCAGTTATTAGTATTTGCACTAGAATAAGTTGTCTGTATGATATCCCTTGGGGTGCGGCCGTTCCTCCAACCCTGTGTGAATGTGAGATCTTTTGTGCACCGAACTCCACTTCCAAAGTAAGCTGAACTATGTTAAGGGTTAGAAGGCAGTGGCGGATCCAGGAAGCTGAACTATGTTAAGGGTTACAAGGCAGTGTCGAATCCAGAATTTTAGATTCGTGGGTGCTTAACTTTTTTTTTTGACGTATCAATCCCATCATATATGTATGCAACTATTAAAATACAATGAAAAAATATTAATTAGAAAACCATGATATTAATATTATAGAACCCGTAAAACTGTGATGGATAACACAATTAGTTAAAAAAAGATCAGTGAATTTGCGGTTCTAGAAGGATTCTTGGTTTTTCTAAAGCAAATTGATCCCTCACCCTTGGCTTTTATAGTGCACTAGTCATAAACTAAAGCACCCACTAGGCTCTTTGTTATGATCCCTCACCCTTGGCTTTTATAGTGCACTAGTCATAAACTAAAGCACCCACTAAGCTCTTTGTTACCTAGGTGCTTGCTGTTTTATTATATCCTTTTTTTTAAATAATCTATATATACATACTTCGAGTCGAGGATAATGGGCGCTCGAGCACCCAATTTTTGCAGGTAAACCCGCCCCTGTTAGAAGGTCCAAAGTAACATCTCATTTGTTCATAGAGTCTGTTTATGTTATTTGATAAATAAATGTTCAATCTTGTAATCATAATCACCTCATCTACAAACCTATACGATATGAACCAATATACATTTATTTACTTTATATTATATTTACAATATATGTCGACATATGAAACTGTTTTTTTTTTTCCTTCTCTTTTACGCCACAAATATACGAGCATTCATTTTTATGATGGGTGACAATAAAACTTAAACTGAAGGCCATTGCCAACATACCATCTGAAATGCGTAATTAGCTGAGTTAAATTCTTGAATTGTTAAATAAGGGAAACTTTTATTATCAACAAATCCAGTGTAATCTCATAAGTGAAGTATGAAAAGCGTAGCATGCACGTAGATCTTACCCCTATATATATATAGTTTCGACAAACCGGTCAATTTTGTATTTTGGCCAACCAAGATTAGACAGGGCCAACATTAGACAAATCAAGATTATTTATTGTGTGAATTACACTTCTTAAAAGACACGTTTTACTATGTAGTGTATAATCCCACTATCATTATTTAAAAGAACAAAAACAAAATCTGAATTGAACCGCATGTTCCTAGTCCATGTAATGAACGCATTAAAGGACCATCTATAATTGCACCCAACAAACACTTCTCCTTTACCCCAACATCAGAATGATTCAATCATTCAATATGGTCCCCTGAACTTAAAGCCTCTAAACACTACTCATTTAAAATGAGTCTCGAGATTATAACAAATCAAAACCCGTGGAAACCACCTCTTGCAGAAATCCAGGGTAAGACTACATACAATAGATCCTTGTGGTCCAGCCCTTCCCGGACCCCGCGCATAGCGGGAGCTTAGTGCGCCGGACTGCCTTTTTAGACTTTTTCAATATACAGAAACCATGTAGCACTCTAGGATATGATGTATATAAACCAAACTATAGTAAGGATCTAAAGGGTCCAGATTAGATAAGACCATGATATCTTTCAAGATTCATTCCTCTGAATTTCCTAAAAGAATCCGTAAATGTACAAACAAAACTTTTTCTTTAGACCATCATCCCTCTAACATGTGCGCGACTCGATACATATATCTCACTCTTAAAAAGAGGAATAGAAAAAGCAAAAATGAAAATGAAAAAGTTCTTACTAGTTCGCATGTAGTATTCTGCGATATCCTCTTCCTCCGAAACTCTGTGGTATCAGTCACAGGAGGGGAGAAGCACTGGGGTTTACAACAATATGCTTGAGAGGGTGAGCAACGTCGGTACCTCCAGCGTGCTTAACAAACTCGGCTGGTGAGTGAAAACTACCGTGACATACGCACATAATTCTTACCTCCTCCCCTTTCCCGTACTTGTATAATATGCCGTCTACTCTTCTACCATTAGGACCATCTCCTTTTGTGAAAACGCATGGCATATCTCCCAATGCGTTTGCTCCGGTTTCCTTTGCCTGACGTTTTGCTGCATCGAGCCTCTTAGATGGACTACTGTCCATATCACCTCCCGACAGCCTGTTTACAATCTCTCTCATTTTTGACCCGGACGAACCAACGTCTTGACTCCCTCCTCCTTGTAATGAGTGGATACTGGCAGGGCTTAGCTCGCCAGACCCTGTAGCCGGAATTCATCAGGGTTCTAGAAAGATGGTCGAGATGATAAATGGAAGGAAAGGTAGAAAAGCAGATATCATATATAAACTGCATCTTTTCTTTCCTTTACTCTGTAAGCTCCAAAAACAAGTTAATGTCATACGAATGAACATACCATAAATTGCAGTAAAATGCAAAACTATTAGACACTACTGAATGATTATAGAACAATCAATACAGACCAGTACCAGATCAAACGATCTAATATTCTCTGGTGACAATAATGAACTCCACTTGCGTAGTGAATAGTCAATAGCATATTCAACATTCTTTGACTAAATAACCATTTATTGTACAAGCATCTAAGGTCAGCAAACTTAGGATAACAGGAATTAAGCAGCTGAAATAAATTCCAATATTCTAATTCGATCGACTTGCTGATTTCATGACAATAGATAACTATTAAAAAGATTGAATTTCCTCAGCAATATCGTGGAACTTCATTTAGGAATAGGACAAGTGAAAAAGGATTTAAATTTGGTCATAGGACGTAAGATAGTGATCTATTAATTCCCCAACAGATATTCCTATCTAGCAACAAAGGTCCTTACGCATCAACTAGCAAGTCAAATTTACATCTATGTGATATTCGGAAAATTGCGACACAGCGATTCCAAGGAGCTGACCTGGACCCTAATCCGTTCTATCGCATGGACCACAACCGAAAAGGTAAATAAGAGAGCCGGAGACAATCTTGATTGCCCAATAGGTAACTAACTAAGAAGACTAAATGAAAAGACTGTTGCTTATCTAAAAGTAGCACACATAGGGCAAGCATCTGAAACCATGAGGTGTAAAATCCATCAGGTTTTAATACACATGACTAACTCCCTTGGGTGAGAAGGAAATTGAACCATCTAGAGAGATCTGTTAGTTTAATCGAGACTAGAGTACTCTCAAGTAGGTAGATATAAGTTGTCAAGATTTTCGAGAGTAGACTGGAAGTTGGCATTATACAAACATAGCGGCATGTATCACAAGGCCTCTTTTATTTTATCAGCCAATAAAAGAATGAATGCTTTCTATTTTACTGTGCAAAGTACCCCGCGAATAAATGATCTAGTTTGGTTTCCCAAGTCTACAAATAATAACGGTCCATCTTTCTCCTTGCTGTTTAATTGGAAGTAGTGAGCTCTGGTTAATCATTTCATGGAAAAGATATGAATCTCTAGTTTCTGCGGAAAGGGTATCAGACTTGGTTGATATAATACTACGAAAAAGAAAATCATATAGTCAAATCAGCAGTAGCAGACGCTCCCTAGGGTTCTAACCTACTGGAGTTCACATCAAAGCAAGCAACTGAAGATTAAGAAGGTATTTTACATCACAGAACCTTTTGCTCAAAGAACTGCACCTGCAATTCTTATCATATGCATTTTCCTGTATCTTCTTATCTCCTGCATTTCTTCCGGCAAATTTTGTGACTTCTGCGCATATGGCAACAAAGAAAGTTCCCAAAGGCACCTAGATAACCTTATTAAACACCCGGCATAAGTACAACACTTGACAGTGACAATCAGAAAGTATCTCCAAAGTCCAAACAGTCGATATAGCATAACATTCTCGAGGTGCCGAAAGTAGAAGGAAGCGCTATACCACAATTTTAAACCACGAATATGGTGACAAGGGAGGGTTTTCTTAGTGATAGAACACCTTCACCTCCAACCATTGGGTTAGAGGTATGAGTCACCAAGAGGGAAAGGGAACTACTGTTGATCCCTTGAGGGGCGAAAAGGGATGGTTGGATGGGTTTTCGTTTTTTTTTTTTGTTGTGTGTGTGTGTGTGGGGGGGGGGGGGTGATGTCCGAGTTAGCTTGGGCGCACTTTGACTATTCCTACCTCCACCAGCAGAAATACCGATAATTGTCTGTTGGGAATCCTGGACTCCTATGGTTTTCACCTACTTCACTGACTGCTAGGCCACACGCTAAGGTGTGGTCCAGTGGGCTTTGAAAAGAATCAAGAATGTGGTAAATGGCAATAAGACAGAAGACATGAACAAGTACCAAAGAAACTAGCAAACACTGAAAGTGAGGGGACCTCCATCAGCAAGTATTGACTAAATGTATTGGGATTTAATTGAACAGCTCATAAAAGCAAATGCCACATTTCTGGCAATGGATAACTCCGCAGTAATCATTTATGAGCAATGTTACATAGCATGTTTTAAAACATCCTCATTGCAACATGTGATAACCACACCATACCCAAAAGATAAGACTACCAACACAACAATCAAATATTCAAACCCAAAGTAAAATCATTCAGTACTACAATTCTCCAATTCAACTGGCTATCAAGTCTCAAGAATTGAATCAATAAAGAAGTTACATAAACAATGAGTAAAAAAAAAAGGGCAGCCCGGTGCCGGGGAAAGGCCGCACCCCAATAAGTGTGATCTAGACAACCTACCCGATGCAAGCATTAGCGGCCGATTCCACGGCTCGAACCCGTGACCTATTGGTCACACAGAGACAACTTTACCGTTGCTCCAAGCTCCACTTCACATAAACAATGAATGCTAACATAAAATAAAGGGAAATGTTGTACCTTGTGGAGGTTTACTTTCCAATTCAGACATACTTGAAGAACTACCACCACCACCTTGGGATTCCACAGAACCTTGTGATCCCAATTGCCCTTGTCCTTGCTTTTTACTACCAGAATAACTTCCTTTACCTTTTTCCATTGCCAAATCCATTCCACCTCCTCCCAAATTACCTTGTCTAGCAACTGCAGCCAACGTTGGAGATACCGATAAACCAAACTTTTTCGCTGTCGCCAAGTACTGTTCTTTCTCCAATTTACCTCTCAAATTCACCTCAATTTCCCTCTTTACATCTTCCACACTTCCTCCACCACTTTCTTTATCACCACTCCTTAAATTCCTCTGCTTCTCTGATCTTCTCCTCTTAGCTTCCATTCTTCTCAAAGTCTGCAACTCTTTCCTTTTCCTCCATTCTTCCTCAGTCTCCACAGGCAAAGAAGAAGTTCTCACTAAACTAGCTGGATAAGAAACTGGAGGTGATGGTGCTAAAGCATCATCATCTCTAACTATAGGCAAACAAGCAGCTACAGAACTAGACCTTATCAACTTATTATTACAAGATTTGTCCACACCAAATCTACCTCCTAATGATAATCCAAGATTCAACTCTAATTCTCCCTCATCATTTTCCTCATCCTCCTCCTTTGCTCTTGAACTACTACTCCCCATAAATCTTTGCAATAAGTCCCTTGAAAATTTACTACTTTCCATAGAAAACTTCTCCATTTCCAGTACTCTACAACTTTTCTTTTTCTCATCTGTATTATCTCCCATGGCAAACCATAAATTATCCACCAAATATATTATCAACAATACCACACTAAACCTCTTAAACTTAACTATTTCCACATGTACATGCATGTTTAACACTTCCATGATCTAATTTAACCAACCCCAGATGGAAAAATCTAATCTTTAACTGCATATTACCTTAAATAAGCTCCAAGATTAAGTCTTTAGACCCAAATCCCAACTGGGAAAAAAAGTAAATATGGCCGGAGTTTTTCCCGGAGAAAGCAAAAGGGTGGCAGGAAAATCCACCAAAAGACTATCGATACACAAAAAGAAAAAGAGAAAAAATGGATAAAAATGTAATCTTGGTGAGAAAATGTTGTGTTCCGGCAAAAGGGTGACCGCAAAATCAAGAAAACATGAGAAGCAAAGAGCTACGGAAGGGGTAGAGTGTAAGAATACAATGAAATAATAAATCAAACAAGACTCAGAAAGATAGAAACAGGTAAGGGGGTGGGGGGGGGGGGGAGGAGACTCGAAGGAAAATGAAAGGAAAAAAAGAGGAGGGGGGTAGTGGGGTAGGGAGATGTAAAGACAAAAATGCCCTTTGTGTTTTGGAGGGGGGGGGCGTTGGGGGGTGGGGACAAAAGCAAGTATTGGGAAAGGACAAGTGGCAGAAGTGAGAGAAAGGAAAGAAAGACACGTGGGACTGAGTGAATAGCTCCCTTTTTGGTGGTGTCTCTAACGATAGAGTTTCCAGAGAAAGATGTTTAAATGTGGTGATTCACACTTACACCCTCACTATTTGAGCCAATCATGTTTGTATGTATGTATATAATCTTGTAATCTAAAAAGTCTTTATATAGTCTGAACTCTCAACTTAATAATAACCGTTTAAGGCGTGGTCTGGTATGATGTATAAGTAAAAATAATTTTGGCATAAAAATTTAGTATCGCTTTATTTTTTATTTGGTTATTAATTTTGGAAATAATTTATACTTGTCAGAGGATAAATCTCAGGATAAAATTAAATTGACAATTCTAGGATTAATATAACATACCAAACAATCAATAAAAAATAATATTATGATAACTAATTTTAACATAAGTAATCCCAGCAAAAAATGTCTTCAAACCAAACGACCCCTAAGTATGATAAACAATGTATTTATCACATTCAATGAGTAATAGCTTGTTTGTCCATGTTTCTTTACGGTCAAAAGTACTTTTTTATCAATTTTTTTTCCAACGTTAAGATTTTTTGCCAAGCTTTTAGAATTTAAAAAAAAAAGAGCCTTTGAAGGGGTTAAACACGAGCAATTTTACAGAAATAGAAAAAAATAATTTCTCCTCAAAAGCGTTTTGAAAAAAAAAATAGAACAACAATAACAAATCTAGTGAATTCTCATAGGTGGGATCTGGGAAGGTAATATGTATGCATATTTCACGTCTATCTTAGGAGAGCAGAGGGTCTTTTCGATAGACCCTCGGCTAAAGAGAAAATGCACAGAAGCAGTGGCAACAAGTAGTAACAACAACAAGTTATCAATCAAACCGAAGCGAAAGATATGAGCACTTTAAGTATTTTTTAAATTGATTAGTCAAACACTTGAAAGCACTTTTTAAAAATTTGATGAAATACTAATTGTTGCTCAAAAATAATTTTTAATTAATTAATAACACAAATTAATTCTCACCAAAAATACTTTTCAAAATAAACTGATTTTAAAAGCACGACCAAACAAGCTATAAATCTGACACATCACAATTAGGAGGGGGAGTGGGGGCCTTGCAAGTTGCAGCTAGTAGGGTACACAAGGGCTATAGTAAGGAGTACAACACTAGAACTACTAAAAATGTTAGAGAGAGAAAAAAGTTTTTTAATTTTGTGGACACGTGTTATCAAATAAACAAATCAGAGAGAACACGACACGTGTCAAGGTAGTTTGTGGAGACAGAGAAGCTGACACGTGGATAATATACCTCTCACTCTCAGCCTCGTAAAGCAGAGACATTGTCTTTCATGTTTTTTATGTAATTTGTTTAGAGATTTAATATTTTTGAATAAAATCTTTAGGATGATTAATAATTAATCATACTTAGCTGTCAAGAAAGGGAAAGGTGGGTAGCTGTACTTTTGGATTAGTTTATTTAAAATTTAAATTAGCTAATGAGTGTTTTCTTGTAATTAATACTTACAAGGGACACGTGGGTGTTAAGCTTTTATAGCTTTGAATTTAAGTCTTTACTTTGGTCAAATTTGGGATATAACAAACTTAGAATAAATTAGTCTAGAATAGTAGTATTCTATTAAAGGACCCACAATAAGAATAAGGATTAAATCATACAACTATTTTGCAAAAAATTTACACAGTTAGCACAAATTAATATTAGTATATTGTTTTTTATTTATTATTCTTAAAGTGACAAATAATGTGCCTTAAATATTTATGTGAATTACATTAGTGATATGATTATATAAATTTCTTGTTTGCTTCGTTAGTGCATAAAATGTGACCTCATAAAAATATTTGTATTATATAATTCGGCAACAATTCAATGGTGAAAATTGTTATTCCTTCTACATATATCTAAGAATTAAATATAAATTAAAAGTTATCTTTTGAGTTTCTTTTTAAATATAAATAGTCTATTAAGTCTAAGGAGTGGTCTAGGTTTATCATAAAAATTATCAAGGTTGTCATATTTTTTTTTTTCCAAATTTGTATAAATGTCACTTTTCATCATCGTATTGTTGAATATTTTTTACCTCATTATTTATCAATCAGCTGGACAGTCAATGAATGAATATATTAAAGAAACAGAATTGTCCCAAACTGGAACTTAAAAGATAATTTAGAGTTTAGTTAGGACAAAATTGGAAAAGAACTTTTTTAGATTATCAATTACAATATAAATTTTGAGAGATGTGTGACTACTGTGTAAACTTGACTTCAAAAATACAAATATAGTTAAACAAACAAAAGAAAATTAATCTAATTGGGAGCTCATGTTGATGAAGGAGAAATTTTCAATGGAGTAATAGAAGCTATTTAAAAGAGGACTTACCTAAAAGTCAGGGGGATTTGCAACCAAAATGTAGGTAGAAAAATAATTTTTGATGGTGAAGGAATATAATACCCATTAATAATTAACTCATAAACTCATATTTCTCAATGCATTGTATTGGGTGATACCCTTTTTTGCTTGAGCCCGACCGGGTTGGGTCCGGTCCGGGGCAAGTCGGGGCCATCGAACCCGACCTGGATGCAAGGTAGAACGACGGCCACGTCAACAACCGAGGTCGAGTCATTTCGAGACCGTTGCAGAGCTCGATATGAGTCACCACCGGATGGAGAAACACACAAGGTCGGAAGCCGGACTCGTAACGGATAACCAAGCGTCGCCGGATATCTCGCCCAAACGTGATTTTCTCAACCACTTCAGGCCATTAAGGCGTAATTACAGGGATCCACGATGTAATTAATTTACCTACCTTATTTTTACCCTTAATC